TCTGGAATCCCCACGTAATCAAAGAACCTCTCAAAATCTTCTAGCCAATCTAGAAACTCTTCGACATTAAAGAGACCATCAAAACTAGGAGAAAAATTCCTAGAATCATAATCTTTATAATCATGATATCTTCGTGCATCTCTATGAACCCCAAACACCTTTTCCTCATAAGCTGATTGACTATGCGGAGGGAAGGGGTTGGGGTTATGATTACAAATAGGATGAACACGATCTACGTCATTGCGCAACCTATTGTTATCGTAGTTCTGTTTTAGACCCAACTTAAGCCTAGTAAGAATTACTTGAATATCTTGCAACGTTTGCTGGGTTTTACGTTGACAATCTTGAAATTCGGTCCTAAAAGAAGCCACTCTCTGTCGATCTTCGTCACCAGCAAGGTTGCCACGAAAACAATCAATTGCCATCAGTCCAAGAAAAGACAAGGCTCTGATACCAACTGGCGTAAGCGAAAACGATAAATTTGTTCACGATGAACAGGTTACCTTAAATCCACAAGGTGGGTGTTTTAAATCCACAAAACAAAAAGATAATTTAGAGAAATCTGATATATTATATGATAATTGAATGAATAAAAGTTAATTATACACTTGGCAGTACATGTATTTATAATAAAAGAAAACCTAACACTAGAAGAAAACTAAAAACTAAAGAAACCTAATAGCAAAAGGAAAACAATTCCTCTAAGATATTTAATAAAACTACACTTCTTATAAAAAAAATATATAAATAAAAAAATATAAAATCTAAATAATAAAAATTACTAAGTAGATAAAATTGTCCTAAATTACCAACTAATGTAAGCGGAAGCGATAAATTTATTCACGAGGAACAGGTTACCTTGAATCCATAAGATGGATGTTTTGAATCCACAAAACAAAAAAATAATTCAGAGATATATTATTTGATAATTGAATGAATAAAAGGTAATTATGCACTTGGCAGTACACGTATTTATAATAATAATAAAAAATAAAAATAAAAATAAAAAACCTAACACTAGAAGAAAACTAGATACATAAAAAAACCTGATAGCAAAAAAAAAATAATTCCTCAAATAAATATAATAAAACTACACTTCCTATAAAAAATATAAAAATAAAATAAATAAGAAATCTGAATAATAAAAATTACTAAGTAGATAAAATTGTCCTACATCAAAGAAGAACCATTAACAACCACCTTCTCCAATGCCTCTATAGACCATCTACTTGCTGCCACCGGATTGAATGAATTGATTACCATTGATTCATCCAAAGCCTTGCTTAATGTAGATGATAATGGTGGTGATGGCGATGTTGATGGTGTTGACGTGTTCAAGTGGAAAAAGAAATTCACATATGTGAGTTGTGTAGCAGAATAAATTGTGAAAAGTTTAAGTTTTTATCTTAGAAAGGATTTAATTTTGTGTTTCACTATTCAATTAATTCTACCAAAATTACCTGAATAATTAAACAATCACATGCAAGATAAAAACAAGTAAAGTTTAGAGATGACAGTAGGATTTTTAGCGAGAAAACCCCGATTGACAGAAAAGACCAATCGTTATGGGAAAAACCCTGTGGATTGTGCAGTCCATAACAAACATATCCACTATGTTTGAAATAAAGTACAATGAACTCTGATTCAGGCTCACATCTTATCGTTATACCAAAAACCAATAGCAAACAATCCCTGGCTTTGCGACTTCTTGTCCAATAGCTCTTGACCCTAGGCATATTCTTGATCTCTGTAGAAGGATTGCTGGTATATTAAACAACACTCCACGAATACTTTAGCCCCTTCAAAGTGTGATCATTTCACCCCATTTTTTCAATTCTGAATTTTATGGAGAACGAATAGATCTGCTTTCTCTAATCGTTGTTAATGCAATATTCAATAGACTTGCCCCCCATTGAATTTTTAGAAAAATCTAATTTTATCTATAAAATCTTGAATAATTTTATAAATGCCCCCATAACTCTTTTTTTCCCCATTATCTCACTCGCACCTATATTGCACACAAACACTAGCCAATAACTCCATCGTCTCTTGTCTCCATCTCGGTTATCTCTCCTTTCATCTTTCATGGCTCTCTCTAAATAACTAAATAAATAATTTATTTTTATTCTTTTCGTGGACAATCCATCTCTTCATGGAATAAATGTAAATACTAAAATGATAACAAAAATTCTAATTCATTTATGATTGGAAAAATGAGAAAATACCACTAAGTTATTACCCTTATAATATTTTTAGCAGTGTTGTAACATTTTACAAACATAAAACTAATTAAATACAATTGTTAATGTATTTCATGAAAATATTATTCATTTATAATTAAGTTTAATATATTTTTTTTAATTTTTGGATTTTCAAGCTACTGAATATATATATATGAAAAATTGAGAACATTTACAAGAAGGGCCATTAGGCCAAACAATCCATTGGACTGAACAAACAAGCCCAAGAAAAGGTCATTTTTACTTTTGAAAATGATAATTTGCCCGACTACTAATCACCGAAAAAAACCGACAAGACACATGTCAATAATAGATTAGCACAACCTTACGCACAACCCTTTTACCTTTTCTTCAATCGTTGTACTCTTCATCCGTCTCATCTCTCCCCTTTCTCTTTCTTGCGGCAGACAAGAATTGTGTGAGATGTCCGGTGACAAGAACCTCACCGGCGCCACCACTAACTACTAAACTTCAACTTATTTTTTTTCTCTTTCAACCTCACCACACTTCTCTATCTCCAGGTCTTCCACCACCGATCTACAATCCAAATAAAAACTCCACCTCCTTCGTTGATTTTTATCATCTCGCTAGGTAATTAGTTCCAGTTCCGGCCGGTTTTGGCCTTCATCTTCTCCAACTCCACCGCAGTCGCTAGCGTTTTTTCTGAGCCGGACCAATTCATCTTTTTCTCTATCTTCTTAAAAATTAATTCAATTTTTGTCTATCGAAGCTCCCATATTTTCAATTCATTCCTCAAAACCAATTCTAGTATAAGAAACCAATTAAATTTGTGTCCCTTTCGAACCCATCCCTCAAAACCAATTCTTATGACGAGGGCGACGACGGGCTGAACTTCGAGCAAGGAGTCCGGCAACTGCAAGGAAGAATCGCACCGGAGATCGGTGGCTCCAAACTCCAAACGAGTAAAATTCTTTTAAATACACCTTATACACAAATTCTTTAATGCTCTAACAGGCTTGAAACTTGTTTCTATGAAAGAATAAATCAACACTACTCTATCTCACTCCCTAAAGACCACTCTATAAGCATTCGCTAAACTATTAAAAATAATGAAGACATTCTACCCTTGCATCCAAAATAGCAGTGGCCAAACAAGACAAGCATAAAAATCAAAACCTGACTCATTCCCTTCATTACAAAATTGCCGATTTGCCCAAACCCACTAATCAAATTCTCTCTCCCCACTCCCGCCATCTCTCTCTCTCTCTCCTCGAATTCTGTGCTGCCTCACTCACATCCGATGCCCAATTGGCGTCCCCATTCACAAACAACTCCCCACTCGAATCAGTCCCCATCGCCACTGGAAAATCAGAACAAGTTACGTAAACCGCTGACGTCCCCACCAAGCAACACCTCCGCCGAGTCCTATTTCGATCGTGCTCCGTCCGGACACTGAGCGTGACCCTCGCTGCCTCCGCTCAGATCGGCAAGGTCTCTTGCTGTGAACAACATTACTAGAGGCTGAAACTTTTTCCGTTCGTGTATTCTACATGGATGAAGAGTACAGAGATTGAAGAAAATGTGTGCACAAGGTTGTGTTAATCAAATGCCGACACTTGTTTAGTCGATTTTTTTCGGGTGAATAGTAGTCAGGTCTTATAGCATCACTCTTTTACTTTACTATTGTTTAAAAGTACCCCGACTTGAACAAATTTATTGTCCATGCCTGGCTGAAAGAATTAAAATTTATTACTCAAGTGAACAATAAGATAAGGAGCATGTTTATATATTATAGGGCTGCAACTTGGGCGGGTTGGACGAGTTTGAGGTATAACTTGAGCCTAACTTATTATATGAAATACTAAACTCAAGCCCAACTCTAAACCTATTTTCAATCCTAACTACTTAACCCGAGCCTAACCCATCTTTCTACTTTTAAATTCGGGCTTGCAACTTGGGCTTGGATTTCATGTTTAAACTTTGGGTTAATTCGAGTTACTCATATGGCTAATTTTCATACCAAAAATTTAATATAATCTTAAATTAGTTTTAAATTAAATTACTCTTAAATAAGAAAAAGTTCAAAGACCTTTTTTTTTGTAGATTTTTAATAAATTACAAATAAATTCTTAGAAAATGAAGTCTCCGAAATATTAACATATAATAAGTTAAGATTTAACAAACGAAATTGAAAAGAAAAAAGGTAATCATAGTTTAAATATTATGTATAATGTATTTTTAAGTAAAAATATATATGAAAATAATATTATAATTCGAGTTGGCTCGGGTTGCTAGTACTTCAACTCAAGCCCAATCATAATTCAATTCGAATTGAGATTTTTCAACTCAAACCCAATTCTATTTATAAAAATAATTGCCCAAATTTATAAAAATCGATCTAAATTCAGGTTCGGTTCGAATTTTCTAACCCAAGTTGCATCCCAAATATATTAGGCAGTGTAATATATATACATAGGTATCAAATTATCAACGTGTTAGTGAATTACTGTATTGCAAGTAGCCACTAGTATGGGCAGTGGTCCCAAAATGACAACAGTGCCCCCAACTACTTTTGAGTGGAGAGGTCTAAATCATGTGGGTCCAAAGAAAAAGGTGCAGACATTACGACAGTTGAGTGGATTCTATATATGATCAGAAACCAAAGGGACTTCACACTCCTACTCTAGAGTCTCAACTGCTCTAATACTTTGCAATGATATTTAGGAAAATAAAAGAAAATGCTTTTTATTTAAAATATTCTGTCTGAAATAAGATCATGGGTCACATATATATGAGAATTCTTATGGACCCACCATAAATTACATCAAAAGGTGGTAATACATTAACAAAAAGAATAAAATTATGTGCTTGTTGAATATGCATGTAATTACAGTTTCTTATACAAATTAATATATACTCATACTATATATTTGCATTTATAAAAAAGTTTAAAAAAGAAAAGAAAAAAATTATGGGTCAGCACCCACATCAGTAGTTGAACCAATTCCAACCTGCAACCATGGAGAGGAACTACCACTTATGTTCATGTCCTTCAACTCACTTAACTTTGCTAACTTCACTTTACTATCTGCTTCATCATCCACATTTTCCATTGAATTATGATTGATGTTGTTCTTGTTATCATGATCGTCTTGGTCGTTGTTGTTTTGATCATAGTATTCGGCATTATCGTCTTTGGCATCCACATCTATCCATGATTGCAAGTTTATTTCTGTAGACACTTCAAAGCTCAAAGGGTTCTTCGGGTCCCGCCGGATTCCGGCCATATCGTCAGCCGGAGCAGGGAGGTTGAGATCGAGCCCAGCCTCAGATTTGCTAAACTTGCTTCTTCGATGAAATTGTTCAATGTCATCATGAAACTGATGAAATTTGGCCAAAGAAGACGTCTCGGGTGAATTTGAAGTGATCCAATGACACCTCTTGTGTCCACCCAAAGCTTGTCCTGATGAAAAAATTCTGTGACATATTGAACATTCATGAACTTTGGATTTCCTCTTTGAAACCCCAGCCATTGCAGCACTAGGGCCATGATCAAATTGTAGACTTGATGTTGATTTTGGCGGGATCAAGAATTGATCTTCATGTGTGATCACATCTTCATCGGCTAGGGTACTATTGTCAAGATGATCGAATCTAGCTGCAAAACAACCTTTAACTTTTTTGTGACTAGCTCTATGTCCACCCAATGCTTGGTGGGAATTGAACACTTTCTTACATGCTTTACATTCAAACATTCCTTTGGCAACCCCTTTGGCTTTGTCAAGGGTTACCCGATTCCCGGCAGCCGCTAGCCCCACCGGAGCGATGAAAGCCGCCGGTTTCCGCCTCTCCTCCTCCTTACTAGCGGAAGCACAAGACTCCTCCGGCTCGGCTTCCAATGGATCAACCCTAGCATTTGACAACAACATTAAGCACTTGGCTAAATCTTCTTCCTCACTAGATGGACATGTTGAATTAAAACTACCCACTTTAGCCCTCAATGACCTCTTCCTCTTTGACCACCCACACCCTCTCGGTCCGGTGCCGTCCTCCCCTTCCGACTCCGGCGACGACAAGAACGACTCGGCGTCCTCGGAGCTGCATTTCCCATGCTCAAAGAAGGATTTCCATGACAAGAATTCTTTCCCACAATTATCACAAGCCCGGCAACTCTTTAACCGGTTAGGGTTGGTCCTCAACGCGTACATTCGCTTGTTCGCCGGTGGCTCGTTCCCCCTGTCCTCCCAATCAGCCGCCGGATCCTCGTCGTCGATGTTTCCGCTCTCGTCTCCTATTCCATGGGCTCTCATGTGTCCTCCTAAAGCTCTTCCACACATAAAACCCTTCTTACATATTCTACAAAAGTGCTTAAAATTCGATTGTTGATCCACCATAAATGCCATTAATAATTATACAAGTAACAAGCAAGCTAGAGAAAGAGATGTAGAGAGAGAAAGAGGTAGAGAGAGAGAGAGAAAGGGGGGGAAGGAGAGAAGAGAAGTAATGAGTTAAGAATGATGAAGGGAAAATGAGGTGGAGTACTTGGTTCTTGTAGTAGAAGTTGTTGCAGGGTTGTATGGTGAAAAGAGGGTTAGTCCTAGTTTTTAGTTGGAGTATTGGTTTGTTGTGGATGGGATAGAGAGAGAGAAAAATAGGAGTGTGAGTTGAGAGTGTGTGACAAGTGGAGAGAAGGTAAGAGGGCGATAGACTTTTTCTACCACCCTGTTCTGGTGGCGCCGCCGGTCAAATAAATGAACGGAAGCCAAAGAATATGATAATATTACTAAAAATTATATATATACACATACACACATGTAAATATATATATATTACTATTTTTATACATAGAGATGATATGTATATATTTGAATATGGTGTGGTGATTGACTGAAGAGTGTTTTCCGTTGGTCCGTCCAGTGTTAGAGAGTAAGAGAGAGAGGAGAGAGAAAGAGGAGGAGAGAGAGAGTGGTTCTAACTGCCAACCTATTCATATCCCTTCAATTCCAAGCCAAGAAAACTAACCATGCTTCTCCTTGTCTGTCGGTTGGTCCAAGCTGCTTTTCCACACAATTATATCCATAAAAATATATAATTAAGGTTAATTTTTTTAGCTTATATGATATATATACATATATGATTAACATTAACCCAAAAAAATTAGTTAATAATAGAAAAGAATCAAGCCATCTACAGTAAGTTGATCATTTAAACGTCAAATTGCTCGCATGCTGTCATAGGCCCAATCACTATAGACAAAAGGGCCGACAGATCTGCAAAATTACTATATTTTTCAGATTTTTATTTACATCACCTAACTGTTTTTGTTACAAAAGTTCTTAAATTACTAGTACAATGTCTATATTTATGAGACTCTTTTTTTCCTTCACTTCACCCTTTCTCTAATGCAACTACGTGACGGAGGAGAAGTTATCAACATCAACTTTGAATCTACAGTTAATAAAAAATTTCTGAAATGTTATAGATGAATCTGCTTTATGCTTTGCAATATATTTATATATAATTAGATATATATATATATATATATATATATATATAACAACGTAAAGAAACTGTCCAAAACTTTTAAAAATTACAAAATGTAATACCCTTTTGCATTGGGCTTGTTTTGCCTTCGGGATCGGGTTCGCTTTAGGCTTGGCTCTCCTCTTGGTAATGGTTACCTAAACTCTCAACCTTTCCACTAGGAAAATGAAATATTAAAATGACATGAAGAATCTTATATATATATATATATATATATATATGAACATTATATAGAGTTCGATTATGGAATCTTTTTTTTTATTTTTTTTTTATTATTTTTTATTTTTTATTTTATTTTATGTGTGCGTGGAGATTGACATCATTATTATAACAACTATTATAATAACGTGATCACATTCACATAGATGCAATTTGATTCGTCTGACTTTTAGACAATGTATCACAACTATATATATATTTATAAATCAAAATATTATTAATGTCAAAATTGTATGAATTTTTTTTTTTCCTATTTGGTAATCACATACACATGCCTCCATTGAGGTTCGAATCCCTGACCTCCCTTTGGGAAGTAGGGGCCTGGTACCGCTAGGCTGTTCTTATTAATGTCAAAGTTGTATGATTCAACGATCCTACATCATATTTTCATTTTATAGTCTCGCACTATCTATATTCACTAGACAAATCCAACTGTAGAATCAAAACCAAATCATTAATGCACTGATAGCTAGCCTCGATTGTGTTAATGTTCATTTCCAGATTTCTAAGTACATTTTGATATACATAATGTATGCATATGTGTTTTAGCGCAGAGAGAGAACTAAATAAATATACCCTTCTGCTATTGGATGATATCTTTAATGTTACATTTGGTTTGTAGGAATAGAATGCCCATTCCAACCATTATGCAATTTAAAGTGGGAAAGATCATTCCATTGGAATGAAAATCCATTCTACAACTAAACCTATGGAATGACCATTCCATTTCTAAGTAAATTTTTTTTAAAAATCAACTTTCTAAAATATCCTCGTATTCCAAGTCTAAAAACAATAATTACCTTCCACCACAACCACCTCCGCTTTTCACCACTACCACTAATACCACCACCGCCACCAACTTTCACCATTACCCATCGTTTTCCACCACCACCACTGCCTTTTACCACCGACACCGCCACCGCCACCACTACCACCACTACCACCACTTCCATCGCCTTTCACCAACGCCACCTCCACCACCTTCCACCACCACCACTACTGCTTTCTACCTCCACCACATTCCGCCACTGCCTTTCACCATAGCCACCACCTTCCACCACCGCCTTCCATCGCCACTGCCTTCCACTGCAACTGTCACTGCCTTACACCACTACCGCCTGCCACAACAACCTTTCACCACTACCGCCATCGCCTTCCACCACCTTCCATCACCACCACTGCCACCGACTTCCACCACTACCACCGCCACCGCTACCACCTTTCACTATCGCAACCACCTTCCACCATCATCACAGTTGTGATACCCCCCGATTTTCGGATGCGGGCTGGCCAGGCCCACGCCCGATTACCTGAAGATACCAAACTAATTAGCAATAAACGAACACAGAATATAATTAAGAAAACATGAATAAATAAATTGCTGAAAATAAACTAGAATGATAAACCAAAAAGAATTCCGTCCTCGGAATTCACGAAACTCTGAATTATCTGCTTTTAAAATTCACTTCCGTTCTCGTGTGAACTCAGCTCTATTAGTACGAATAGATTTATTCATAACTTGGCAACTAACCCATGCCTCCCTAAGTATAGTTATTTATACTTTGGCAAATCAACCATGTCCCCCTTTTTGTATATTATGTTATACCGTGGCAAATCAACCATGCCGATAATTCAACCATATCTGTGGCAAATCAACCATGCCGCCTTAAGTATATTTAGTTATACTTGACAAATCAACCATGCCTTAATTCAACCATAGACCGATTTTAAACTCAACGAAGAACGAAAACACCCATAGTCCGAGCATGCATATCAAACGCATAACATGAATTTAAAACCAACCAATCCAGATAGACAAATTAAACATATCCTACATCATCCGGTTCACTTGACTAGACATTCGATGTCCTGATGTACCTTATCATCGTCCGAGTGTATTGAAAAGAAGTGCCGATTTTAAATCGCAATTCATTCTGACAACACTAACAGAAACCACGAAACCTCCGTCAGCACCTTAAGTTCCTATTTGAGTAAAGTAACACCTCCATGAAGATCAACCCCAATATGTGCAGTTGCCTTCCTTAATTTCCGTGATAACAGCCAGTGTCATTATTATATAGGCTTAACTTCAACTACGAACGGAACAACAAATCAAAAAATATGAATATTCGATCGGTTGTTAAGAGCGTTCACTTCCCTATTCCCTTCCACTAGATAGAACTTAATGCAAAGTGTAAATCACCACTTTGATGCATTTAAGTCGTCTTGTAATCCCCTCTAGTCATATGAATTGATGTCCCACTAGTTCAAACAAACCTACCTCCCAACCAAAATCCTGTCTATTTTGTTTAAAGAGTCAGCAATCCCTTAACTAAATTCGTGAAAATGCTCTATCATTTCCACTTTAGTATAGAAATTGACTACAAGGATTAAATAATCGCGAATGATCTAACTCGACCTTATCAGAAATGGCGTCAAAATCACCACGTCCCTCTGCTTGCCGATCCTCCAAACATCAGCTTCATACCGTGAAACATTTTGTTTTTACCAGGATGAATAAAGAACTAAGAGATATGAATTTCAGTCCTTATATTCTCCTTCCTGTTTGTCTACAGAAAGTACCAACTGGTCTTGTACCACCAGCTTCCGTCTACACCCATTGCTTACATCGAAACATCGTCAAAAGCTAACCCTACAATTGTACCGATACATCACCAGCAACTCCTCTAAATGACCCCCTCGTAAAATAATGTCTAGATCACGAATAAACTGATAAAGTTTTCATCAGTCCACTATCCTCCCTCGGCGTCATTTTAATAAGTACCTACCAGCCCAAAATCCTCCATCCAAACCATAGTGGCATTACAGTGATCTTTACTTACCACAACCTCACGAATCCCCAAAGCATTAACAATCACCATTATTATAGCGTTATAAAAACGAATCCCTACCTAGCATAGAGCATATCAAACTAATCATTGTAGATTATTTGACTCGTATTGGTAGTTTAACTATCCCATCTTCAATAGCATACCATATTAATGCATATCCAGGTCCAATAGATTGGCTAGAAGTTTGTATTTTTACCTAATCCTATGACCATACATTCACAAATCCTAGCGTACATAGCACTATTACCCATGTCATTAAAATAATAGTTGGTTGATCACATATTTGTGTCCCCAACCAATCCATATTCCCAATCCGGACTAATTAACACAAAATAAAACACGTAATAATAAAACTGAAACACATAACAATCAAAGGTGAAACACGTAGATACACACAATACACAAAATAACCAAAATATAATTCTACTTAAGACATACTCCATTCCAGAGAAGAAAACCTCATTTGAACTCAAGTTGCCAAATTAAAGTTCATTTCATAGTTTTGTTGGTAATCATCCAACCTTGAAACCTATCCATTAACCATAGCGTAACAGCACCATCATTTGCCTAAACAAATATCCAAAGTCTTAACCATCATACTCCTTATATGCGGAATGCAAACCATCGATCGCGGCTTTACAAAGCAACTTAAAATGTCACCACCTAATTCCCATACTCTCCGGAATGTGATATAAAATCACGTCTTCGTTCTGATAAGAACTCCATCCGATTCCTAAACTCCTAAAGAGTACTTCTCAAATAACTCCCGGAGAGACGATACAAAACTT